GGGAAGGATGAGAGAGGTGATCCCAAATCCAGGAGGATTTGCCTCCCCCAGAAAAAAGGGTCAGATCCACCCTGGGAAGGGCGAAAAGCATGGGAAGGGACAGTGTTGGGAAGCAAGTGGGAGAGGGAAACAGGAGGCAGCAGCTCCAAGGGGAATGTGCTCCCATCCCAAGGCAGATGGATCTGAGGGGAAGGATAGTGCACCATCCCAAGCCAATCCAAGTTCCAAGGTGGATCCTTCCCTATCCCAAACTGAAGCGGTTCCGGATGGTGGTGCTCGTGAGATCCTGCTCAGGAACTTGGATCCTTTCCCTATTCCAATCCAAACCAGAGGATCCAGAGGGTCTCAGGAAACTCCAGAGGATCTCCAGGAAGCACCAGGTGGTCCTAGAAACCTTCAGGGGTCTCAGGAAGTTCCAGAAGGTCCTGGGAAGGTTCAGGGAAGCTTTTGGAGGAGTCCTGGGAAGCTCCAGAGGTCTCCACGGTCCTCCCAGGAAGCTCCCGGGAAGGAGCAGGAGCCAATCCAAGCTCAGGGGCAGATTCGGAGGCGAGTGCCCTTGGCGAGGACACGGAAGAACGGGAAGATTTGCCGTCGGAAGGAAACGCGGAACGTGTGGATGTGACTCATGTTCTCGGCGTCGTAAAAACCAAGTTGTCCTCGCTCGTAATCTAAGTAGATCCCAAAACGTTTTGGCTGCTCCAGAAGCGCCAACACCGTCTGCTCTGTAGCCGTTAGCGCGTGGAATTTCTTCCCGTTGCTCCCTATGGCCCAAATTTCTCTCCTTGGAGTGGTTTCTCTTCCCAAACTTTTCTCCCGACATCCAGCGTTTTCCTGCATGGCTCCCACGGCCCAACCACGGCGACCTTTGACCTCTACTTCCCAATAGTGACGTCCGGAAGTAAATCCTGGTGTTCCCAGGACGGATAAGTCGCTTCCGGAGGTGTATCCGGAGGGATCGGAGCGTCGCTCGCTCAGGCGGACGCTGCGGAGATCCAAGGAGAGGTTGAGACGTGAATGTGCCGTGCATGGATCCAAGGTGATGTCAGCTGTGTCCAAGGAAAAAAAAATGGGAAAAAACAGGAGTTAGGGATAGGTAAGGGATGGAGGGAGTGGCCCAAGGTAGAAGTTTGGAGCTGGTGGTGGATGGATGGGAGCCAAAGGACCGTGGAATGCTGGAAGGGATTCGGTTCCTGGTTGGCGTTGGTTTGACCTCCCATTCCCATCCCAATCCCCACCCCTTTCCCTCCCCAATTCCCACCCCTTTCCTACTCCTTCACTCCCAATTTTCCACCCCTTTCCCTCCCTCAATTCTTCCCCTCCTTTTTCCCAGAATTTCCTATTTTTCCCGCATTTTTCCTCCCACCTTGGGGCACTTTATGGAACACCTTCTCCATTTTCCTCAGGATCACATCCTTCAGGAAGCAATTCCTGACTTTCTTTTCCACATCCACTGGCACCAGCTCAGACTCTTGGAATTTCATGTTCTTACACCTGGAAAAAAAAAGGGGGAAAATTGGGATTTGGGATACTCTGAAGCAGGAAATGAAACCCTGAAAGCTCCAAGCTCATCCCAAACATTCCCAAATCCCATCTGTATCCCCTAGGGAATTCCCTCCATCCTGACCCTTCCCAGATTCCACAACCCAAGGCTGAAAAAGCTCCTGGAATGGTTTTTCCCAGCTCCTGGTGGAATGGACTCACCGGATGATGGTTCCTTTGATATCCTGGTGGGAAGCAGATGGAAAACAGGGAGAGAGAGAAGGTTAATCAGGATCCAGGGGAAGATTCCCATGAGGAAAAGCCTTTGGAGGAAGGCTCAATCCCACTTATCCCCCTGCACACACACATCCTGGGCCCCCTAATCCCAGTTTTCCCTGTCTCCCACACACCTTGAGCCCATCCTGGGCTCCCATTCCCAATTTTTAGCCCCCAATCCCAGTTCCTCCTACACACCTTGGGCCCATCCTGGCTCTCCCAATCCCAGTTCTCCCTTTCTCCCACACACCTTGAGCCCATCCCGACCCCCCCCAGTCCCACTTTTCCGACCCTGAGAAGCTGCATCCCGTGCTGCCGCGCGGCGGCCTGGGATTCCGTGAGGAGCCTGCGGAGCGCGG